TTGTGTTCTGTTCAGGAAGTTGTCTCCTATGCCAATGAGTTCTAGGCTCTTCCCCACTTTTTCTTCTAACAGGTTTAGTGTGTCTGGTTTTATGTTGAGGTCTTTGATCCACTTGGACTTTTGTTTTGTGCAGGGTGATAAATATGGAACTATTTGCATTTTTCTACATGTAGACATCCAGTTAGACCAGCACCACTTACAGAGGCCCTAAATGAACCTAATAGATGTCTATAGAACTTTTCACCCAAAAGGTACACTCAAAAGAGTGTACCTTCTTCTCCGCACCTTCTCAAAAGTCGACCATATAGTCAGGCGCAAAGCAAGCCTCAACTGATACAAGAAGATTGAAATAGTCCCTTGTATCCTTTCAGACCTCCATGGGCTAAAAATAGACCTCAACAACAGAAATAACAAAAAGCCTACCTACACATGGACACTGAACAACTCACTACTTAATGAAAGCTGGGACAAGAAAGAAATGAAAAAAGAAATTAGAGACTTCCTAAAATTCAATGAAAATGAAGGCCGAATTTACCCAAACTTTGGGATACAGTGTAAGCAGCGTTAAGGGGAATGTTCTCAAGATTCTTAACCATGGTTGCTAAATCCTCCATGTCATGCCAGGGCTTTGGGAATTAGGATGTAAATGTCCTTGGGAATGTGCTTATTCTATCTAGTCTACTATCCAGTACTAATTTTGTTATATAAATAGAAGTGAAGAATAAGATCAACCATAGCTAATTGTGAAATGGCACCTTTTGTGTGGGATCACACTTCTAAGTGTGTTTACACACGATATGTTGAACCATTTGTTTAATTATTAGTGCATGACACCTCACAAGACTGGGTAAATGGAAAAGCTCACCAGAAACATGTGAAGAAAAGCAAATGTTTATTGTCTGAAAGCAACTAAATCTGAGGTACTGTTGAGTTTAAAGCAAATTCTGATATATAATATTGCACTAAGAATGTATTATTCTTCCTAAATTTATAATCTTATGATGTATTCTCAGAACTCTTAAAAAGATCTCTTAAATTTACATTCCACACTATTCATCTGTAATGAAACTCTTTGAATCTGTAGCAACAATTCATAGTTTGTCTATACACATAAAACATACAGGCTGAAGGTCAGTTTATATTTCTTTGATGATGTATTTTATAAATTCTAAGTTAAAATTATACATATGTGAAAACTGCTAATATTGCAACAAATAAAATCATTTTAAGAATTCCTTGTTAATTTATTACTTTCCCTATCAGAATGAATTGTTTTAAAATAAAATTCTGCACCACTGGGAAGTTTTAAAGCATAGATGTCTCTCTTTGATGAGTTTTCATGTTTATGGAAAATATTATTAACAGTGAAAAAATATTAAGTTGATCCTTGTTCTTTATATTCTTACTGAGAAATAATTTTATAAACTAAAGTACACTCAATGAACACTTGAAGAAATAAGACATATTCCCTCTGTGTTTGATAAAAATGTTTTAGAGAAATATTTACCTGTGTATATATAGGGTGTATATTATTTTAATCTAATGTATATGTGTTTCAAACATTCAAAATTCTATAGAATTTCATTAAAATGCAACAAATTCTTAGCATTTCAAAGCCAAGTTCCTATAGCTGAACATTCCCTTTTGTAGCAAAGCTAAAATGTAATTAATTGTTTCTTATTGTTGAAATAATTTGCTAGTTGTAAACAATTTCCTGCATTTGAAATTACTTTTAGTCCTCACATTAAATGTCATAAATATTGAAGAACTTTCTCCACCTCATCAGTATTCTAAGACATTCTATAAATATGTGTCAGCATTATGAAGTAGCTAAAATTTTTGCATGATTTATGCAAATAAAAATTATCTCATTACTTTGTAATGACACTTAATAATATAAAGTGTTGATAGGGTGAGAACAAAGGACCTACAGAGACTAACTATGATTTGTATGTATGCAACCACTATGCAGAGAATGAAATATCTAATTTCAAATTTAGTTGAACTAGAACTGTGCTTACATGCCTAACACCGTATCAAAATGTTTCACTGTAAGAAATTTAATTCCTTATTGACTTATTCTTCACCCCCCCCCAACTTCAGACCACATTGTAGCACTAGTAGAATTTACAGGGAAAGAAAATGTTGCTAACACTCTTACCTATTCCTCATGTAATGACTTTAAAATGTGTGTCTGCTGTGGATAAAAGATCTGTAAAGGCACAATTAATGCATCATGAACTTATAGAAATATTGCATTATGAGATAGTACCCTAGGATAGTTTAAAGACATCATATGAGATGCACCAAATAAATCACAGTTTTCAAGAAAGTAGAGATATCCATGTATTTAATTTTTGCTATGGTTATCTTTCAAACACTAGCTAGCAAGCCACATACCATTCTGAATAGCAGTGCTCTCATGTTATAGCCAGAATGTTATTGATGCTTCATTTCTTTGTTGCTAATCAGCTGCAATTTATCCAAATTAGAACAGATTGTATTATTATAACTTGTGTACGTGTGTAAAAACTTTTCTACATTTGGTCACATTTTTATTACTTATTCTAGGGATATGCCCTGAATTGTTACACTAAAAGCAACAATGAGTGAACATTTTGTTGCTTTTCAGAGTTTATGAAGATAAATTAAATAATGCTACAAAACTATATCTGTATGTACCCCAGTTTCTTCTCATCCAAATTACCAAAGTACAAAGGATCATGCCTGCTGGAATAGCACAGTGTAAAGAAAAATCTTTAAATCAGGACTGTGTTCAGAGTTTTGCCGCAGTTAGGAGAGGGCTTCTGCTTTCACACATGCAACTTCCTATCATTTCTTGCCCTTAGATCAATTAGTCATTTGATGTTTAAGGAGCAGAGACTTTTACGTAAATCCCACTAGGTGAACTAGGATCAGGGCTTGTGGAGACAGCTCAGTCAGTTCTCAGCCTCTCTCATGTCTTGACCCTGTAACAGTTTGTCATGTTGTGGTGACCTCCAACTATAAAATCAATTTTTGTTGCTATTTCATAACTGTAGATATGTTACTGTTATGAACCATAACATATATGTCTGAAATGTGGAATATATAGCATAGGACCTCAGAAGAGATTATGGCCCACAGGTTGAGAATCACTGCGGTAGAGTGTTTTCCTCAGGAGCATGGGGGCCTCTGTCCACCTGCTTATAATTCAGAGGTGAAAGCAGGCAGATCCCGGTGAGCAAGCCCTAATCAGCAAGCCCCAGGCCTCGGAAGTCCTGCTTCCAAAGCCATGGTATATAATTTCTGAGGAATGACACCTAAGCTACTTCCGATATCCAAACACATGAGGACAGACATGCATGTGTATCTACACGCATGACGGTGCATGTATGAATATACATACAGAAGCAAATGAAAAGCAAGACTAGATATTAGCGAAAATTAGTTTGCCCAAAATTTTATTTTTATGATGCCCTCTATGGAAGCAAATCAGACATAAGCACGAGTACAATTGTAGCATCATGATAAATGTTCTTAGGCAAAAACTGCAAAAACAAAGCATGGGTTTTACTGCCAGATGAGTACACACAATATCATGTGCTTGTCTTTTAATTAAATTCTTTTGTAGTGTGACTTCTGTACAGGCCCTAACATATATAATTTTTTGAAAATAATTTAGGCTCAAATAATAGTTGTTTTATTTGACTGTGAAAGTAGAAAATGCGGTCATCGTTGACAATAGTGCTCATCCAATTTTCTGTCTTTGATTAAAGACGGCTTTGACTAATAGAGTCATTTCATGTGTTGTCAATGATCATAATCAACAGTGAATGATCATCAAGTAGTAGAAAATCTTCAATCTCAGTATTTTGTAACATGAGACTATTATATACACTTTCGTATGATTCAAAAAAATGTAGTCATTTGTAGGGTCAAATGCTATTCTGTTTCAGAAGCAAATTGCAAGTTTGGGGACGAAAATCCAGGTCACTCTAGTTTCAAAGCTTTTATTCATTTCATATCATGCCATTACAGATAAGTCTTATGGGACATCAGAGCATTTTGACCTAAATTGTTCCCTTGCAATATTCCAAGTTTGTTATTCAGAAAAACAGCTGACTTCTGCAGTAATAGACATGACCCTGGGAAAATGTCCTTTCGTAAAAATAAGCTCACGTCTATCTACATTAGTAAACAGATGTTGGCAATTCTGACTTGCAGCCCCCATCTGTTTAAGAAAATCTTTCAAGGACACAGGGTCTGAGTCCCTGACACCTGGCTCGGAAAGGGTTGTGCACAGGAAATCACCTGATAATTATTACACAGGAGACTTTGCCTACATAACAGACAATTCTACATTTCCCCTCTCGCACCAGCATGCCTCATTGCTACATATTTGTCAGTATTCTTGGTCCTTTCCCTTGTCTCTTGAACAGTCAACCTCCTATTTAAACTTCAACTCTTAAGTCCTCCTTTGAGCTTCCTTCTGCAGGCGTGACATCCATGCTTAAACACATGATACATTTTGTTTTCTGCTAATCTATTGCCACTTTTCTTTCCACAGACCAAACTTCAAGATAAACCTCAAAGTGAAAAGAGGAAAAAAAATTGCAAACTTTCTCTCACAGCCCATCCTAAGTTTGGTGCTCTTGTTTGAAGTTTGAGACACAAAAAATGGTTAAAATTTTTCCTTGCGCCCAAGGAACCTATAACCTATTTGTGCAAACCAGGCACATACACAAAGAACCACCAACAGAACAGGACATACTAGAATTGATTTTGTAGGAGTGAAATGGAGTCAAGTCCCAATTGACACAGACTATAAAGAAGTCAATAACAGATTATGTCAAACTTCAGTTCTCCTATATGATGTTACCCAGACAGCTGGCTAGGGTATAAGTGGAAATATACAAACAAACAAACAAAAACAAAATCCTGTATCTTCAGGACTAAATGAGAGCCTAGGCAATCCTCTAGACTTGATGACTGTAATCCTGAAACTAATTGCTTCTTACCTTTTGGACATATTCAGCTGGTCCAGCTGGGTTAATTTCATCCTTAGGTGCCTCAAAAATACTCCTCAGCTCCTCCAGGGCAATGGAAAAGCGTTCAATCCTGCGTCGGCCAGTCAGGGAATCCTCCTTCAGTACTTCCGGCTGGCCACAGTCCCTGAGTTTGTCACTCTGGTCTTCCAGAACTCCATCTTCCAGCTCTCCACTCAACACCTCTTCCCTCGCGCTGCAGGACAGACTCCGTGCCTCTGGAGGGTCGAGCGCGGAGCGCACCTCTCCTTCAGGTGCAAGCACGTTGCTTTCCTTAAGCTGGAAGATCCTGCACCGACTGCCTCCAGGGTAGGTCTCACTTCTCTGGTAGTTACTGGATTCCCATTTCTGCCTCAAGATATTCAGTGAGCCCTTCTGTATGGGGAAAGTAGGTGGCTCCAGCTTGTCCTAAAATGTCAAAAGTTCCTTCATTTTAAATGTGCCCAAAAGTCAGGTGTGTTCAAATACATTGTTCAAGAAACTTGACTCGGTGGCACAATGCCTTAACAGCCACAAACCCACACATATTGAGAGGAAAGGTTAGCACAGATCCAGGGAGGTAACCAAAAAGAGACAAGAACAAAACTAGGAAGACACAATTTTATTCTTCTTCTTCTATGCAAAATCAAACCTGTGAATTCATTGTTAAATAAATTCTGAGAAAGGGGTCATTTATGAAAGAGGCAATGAAGCATGAGTGGACATTTCTCATGTGTAACTGTATAATATTTCCTTTCAATTATCGGTTTTTGCAAATCTCTTTAGAAGTAACAGAGCAAAAGCTTACTGTTATTATGCCTTGGATGTAGGGCAAACACTTGTATAATTGCCTCATACATGTACACATTTTGTTCCCCAAATTATACCACATAAATTAGTTGATACTATTATTACTGTGTTTCAGATATAGAATTTGTGTTGAATAATTTACCCAGGTTCTCAATGCCAAAGCCTGAATTTGAAATTTATACGCATAATCCAAATTTGCTCCTGATACCACCGATTTTAATGTCACTTTTGTGCTTTTAAAAATGCCTCATTGTGAAGCTCATTTGAACAGGACTTTGTTTCAGAGTTTTATGGTGAATAGAAAAAATTCAAATGAAAAAAATATATTCTTATCATAAAATACAGAGGCTCTCACACACATGTAGGAGATAAATTATGGTCAGCAAGAGTTACAAGCTACCGTGAATTCTGTCATTTAAATATAAATAGCTTTTTTTCCAACTCAGATTCTGCATTGCAAATTTGGGAGCTTTTAAAAATAAATTTTGCTCTTGAAAGATCTTGCATTTTCCTGTAAAAGTGTCAGCAAGTGGTATACAATACCATTTAGAGTAAGCTTTGGAAGTATCTCAAAAAGTCATCTAATTTAATGGCTATGGATTTTTTTTTTTTTTGGATGTTGGTCTCATTTTGGAAAGTACTTAATGTATGAGACTAAATGCACACATTAGATTAATAAGTGTATATAGAAGAACAAACTTTGTTTTTATTAAGTAATATATCCTCTTACTGTGTAAAAAGCTTGGTAATAGTTTAGATTTGCTTTCTTCCATATGACACAAAGTTTGCTAGGCACTGAATGGATAATGAAGTTGGGATCCTGGCCCTACTGCATAGCTGTGTGCATATAGCAGATGTCTGTTTCCAGGGAAAGCTTCACTAAACTTGTGATCTTGAAAAGGCTTCATTGGATAAATAAAATCAAATAGTATGACTCAGCTCTCTTTGACTAAACTCTTTTTATCCCTCCCTTCCTCCTTCTCTTTCCAGCCTATGGTAAACACAACTTTCTTCCAGGAAAACCTTATGATGGATCATCTCTTTTTGATATTCAAATGCATAGTAGGTTTTCATAGATAATTATGCTACACTGAATATTAAGAATACATAACTTTGCATGTTTTTAATCACAAAGAAGTAATAAACTGTTGAGGAGATAGTTATACATAATTTGAATCTTACAAATGTACGCAGGCAACAGTACATGGTAGCCCAAAAATAGTATGTCATATTATACTATTTTATATTTAATTAACCTCCACAAACCTCTAACAAACTGTTTATTATACTCCTCAATGGAGTTATTGATTCCTGTCATTAACTCTAAATCTATATTTTGGTAAAACTACATTTTAATTACTAAAATATTTACACTGCTTATGAGCCCCCTAGACTTCAATGCTTGGAAATAGTGAGGTTTAAGAGACATAAATTTTTAGACTAAAACAGATTGGAAATTTTGGCCACAAAAACATCACTAATTAATACATTTGTGTTAGTCACCTTCAGAATGTGTGAATAAAACAGTGGTACCATGTCAAGACCTGAATGTCTGTCTCAAAAACTAACCATCAAATGACAAGACTTCTACCAACAAGATCTGTAATTTTGTGTTCTGTCTGCAAGTAAATAAACATACATGGCTATTTAATATAGTGATTATTTCTGATTCAAACTTGCATGGTTAGGAAGAGAAAGTTGAACAAGAAAACATCAAATGATAAAAATAAAACCCCAAGAAGATAACAAACTACCAAACCAGAGAAGAGACCTACTTTCTCCTAGAGCAAACAGGTCCTAATGATTTAAATTGATTTGATGATCTAATTCTAAATCAGAATGGAAGACTCTACACCCCTCAATTCTTCCTGATGAACATACTTAAAAACCCAGGGATCTTAGTTAGAACAATTATGAGAATCTTTCCTGCATTTTCTTTCCTTTACCTATCTATAGTTGTTTGTTGGAAGCATCAATAAGGAGAGAAGGAATTATCTCTGACCTGTACTTGACTGCCTGCTCTTTGATTACTTCCTCCTGGTAGAGAGGCCTTGCCAGGCCACAGAGGAAAAGGAGCCAGGCAGTCCTGATGAGACTTGATAGGACAGGGTTATAAGGTAGAGGAGGAGGGCTCCTCCTTTCTGTGGTCTAGGAGAGGGAGATGGGGGGAAGTGAGAAGGAGGGTAAGAACAGGAGGAGATGAGGAAGGGGGCCTACAATTGGGATATAAAATGAATAAATTATAAAAAATAAAAAAGAAATAAAGTGAAACAAAACAAAAATAATAAGGTAGAAGCAATAATAGGAGAATATTTGTCTGGAACATTTCACACACAAAATATACTCCTTGCACTGACAAAACCAATAGAAATTTAGAAAATGGAAACATAGAATAATGATAATAATAATCATGTATGCTTTGCAAAATATGCAACTAATTTTCCCCATTTCCCTCAAGGACAAGTCAGTGTCTAAAATTTACGTTTTTCTTTACTCTTCTTTTCATATTCCTCAGCTCAGAGAAGTCATAGATATCAAAGAATATTTTAACCATTAAATCTGATATTTTTCTTTGTTCAGTTTCTCTTGAAAATATCATGCATGCATATGAAAGATTCTGATGACTCAATTTTCCCTTTGCTATCTCTTATATTCTTATCACCCCTATAAAACTCTTGACTGTCCTTTCCCCTACATTCATATATTTGGTTGGATTTATAACTTATTTTGTTTAACTAAGGCCATCTGTGTGACAACTGAGTTGGCACTATTCAATGGAGAATTGCTGGGTCATGGGTGGGTGTATGTATGAAGGCAATGACTCACCTTCTCTCCGAATCTATTATTAATAAGAAGTTCAGAAGTGAGCCCCAGGGCCCGCTGATCACCTCATCCACCCATGTTTGACTACTGATGGGTCCATACTTGTGCAGATTCAGTGCAAACATCCTTAGTTGTGAGGTCATAATTGTTGTTATGGCTGTGCTTTCTCTAGAAGATGAAATTCACACTTCCCCCAGTCATAGCTCTTGGATCTATTCACAGGAGCTAGGAAATGGACCAGCCTGGATGCCCATTGATGGGTGAGTGTATAGTGAAAATGGTGCACATATACATAATAACTTCAAGGTAAATAACTGGGACTGGAAAAAGGTATATTGGGTTTGGTAACCTGGCATAGATACATGTTTCATGGTCTCATTCAACATGGAGCTGACATTTGAATCTGCAATTTCATGTGTTCACTTTGGAGTGCCCGATAAACAAACAAACAAAAAAAAAACAATAAACTTGAAGGTGTGTAATGGGTGAGGATGTTTTAAGGCATTGAAGTATTAGAATGTGGGCAATGTGAAAGCAGAGAAGGGAGTAATGTGGGTGGAAATGTTTAAGAAGGAGACAGGACATAGCAGGGCCAGGAAGAGGCATGTTAACAATGGAAAGTGGACATGAATAAGCCGTAGGGAAACCTACTCTCTTGTAACCAAGTAGAGGCAACAATTTGGCAATTTTCTTTTTAAAAATCAGTTTGAATGGAGATTCTTTATATGACTGGGAAAATCTGCCAAAGTCCTGGGTAACCTTAAACAATGACTCTGACATCAAAATTGGGATAGCTCCTTATTGTGTGAGTTGTTGGTCAGATTGGCAACAGAGGCTCCTCAAACAACAAAGCCATTCCTTGCCATTACTCTTGGTTACACAGCAAACTTAAGAGATAAACAGTATCGCAGAAGACAGCATGCAGCTTGGGCTGCTTAATACAGAGAAATTAAGCTGGAACTAAACTTTTAACTTCCTTGCTTCCTGGTAGCTTTCATGGTTCTGGAAGGTGCTAGGCAGGACACTGAGAGAAAGGGGCATCAGTACTCTTTTATTATTATTATCATTTTAAATTTGTTTATTTTTCATTAGTTACAGTTTATTCACTCTGTATCCCAATCTTAGCCCCGTCCCTCTTCCCCTCTCAATCAAACCCCCTCCCTCATTTCCTTCCATTCCCCTCCCCCATTCCACTGATAGGGGAGGTCCTCCTCCCCTTTCATTTGATCCTAGCCTATCAGGTCTCATCAGGAGTGGCTGCATTGTCTTCCTCTGTGGCCTGGAGGGGGAGGTGATCAAAGAGCAGGCTACTGAGTTCATGTCAGAGACAGTCTCTGTTCCCATTACTAGGGTATCCACTTGGATACTGAGCCGCCATGGGCTACATCTGTGCAGGGGTCCTAGGTTATCTCAATACATGGTCCTTGGCTGGAGTATCAGTCTCAAAGACTCTTGGGCCCAGATCTTTTGTTTGTTTGTTTATTGTTTTGTTCTCCTTGTGGAACTCCTGTCTCCTCCAGGTCTTTCTATCAGCCCCTTCTTTCATAAGAGTTCCTGTACTCTACCAAAGTTTGGCTATGAGTCTCTGCCTCTGCTTTGATACCCCACAGGGTAGAGTCTTTCATAGTCCATCTGTGGTAGGCTCCTGTCTTAATCCAAACAGCTACAAACCTGTGAACTATGAGACCAATCTAGCAAGAGGATATATATATATATATATATATATATATATATATATATATATATATAACAAAGTTTCATCAAAGAAT